TAAGTATTCAAGGATTCCTCAAACAGGCATTACCCAGTAAAGGGCATGTGTTTAATGTGTTTCTTGCAAACCAGCATTTCAGCCACAGAATCCATTGCATATGGACAGACAGTAGACTCATGCTGGAGATTTTTCTAAGGGTATCTGCCAGACCATCTAACGCCAGACCACTGGAAAGAGCTCTAAACATTTGAGAGTGTCTGGGTCCATCAAGATGGACCCAGGGTCCCTAGCCATAGCCTTTACTATACAGATAAGGTGCAACACACTGCCATGGTGGCAACAGAAGGTTGCAGAGCAGGGCCTGTAAGGACCAAAAAGACCCTGAAGAGGGCCCAGTTTTTGAAACCAGGGACATCTACAGGGACCATTTATATCTTGTTTAATCAAGACATAGCTGCCGAGCAAACCATACAGGGGGCATGAACTGCTTTTGAGGGTGATCCCACACCCTACAACACTGGCTGTAAGACCACATGTACAGGCAAGGTTTTGGCAGGTTTGGGCATACCCCCTTAAGGAGGTATTCAGTGACAGGGCTCCAGTGTAATTGACCAAGGCCCTGAACCTGTAAAGCACCCTGCAGCAACTGTACAAAGTGCCAGGAAGAGTGGCACATGCAGGATCAAGTGCACTAAGCATAGTACAGGCCAGACTTGCATGTTCCTTTCGGAAGGGTCCAGATACGGTCTCGCCAAGGCTGTGCTGAACTGAAAAAAGGATCTTGGTAGGTGCTTTTAGCGGTCGCAGAGGCTGTGAGCAGCTTAGGGAAACTTACTAAAAGAGTTTTCAGCAGGAAAGTGCAGAAAAAGGATGAACTTCTCTCAGAGCAGAGAGAAGATGTCTGTCACCATAGGACACTAGCAAAAAAAACTGATGCAGGCTACGAGTGGGAGGAGTTATACAGAGTCGTCTTATGACTTTGACAGATTTGCCAGGGTCCAATCACCTGAGGGTAGCTGCATAACCCATTAATTGGAGCGTTAACTCCCTGTGTACAATGAAGAAATACTGTTTCTTTATTTTTAAAGTTAATCAGATGTAAAAAGTTGTATTTAGTGTTGTTGTAGACTTTGCAATATTCCAAATAACATTTCTATTTACAATTACTTTACAATTTATGATTAGGAACTTGTTAGCAGCTGAGCAGACCAGAGGTGCTTCATTTTTCCTGGCTACAAACTTTTCCATGGTGTGTTTAAGCCACCATCTGTGTCAGTGCACCTTGTTCGTACAAACACTGCTTGGGAATCAATGAACGAGTTAATACAAGTGAAATTGTTTGGAAAAACCTTACACTCTCCATGCAAGTAGAGGTCGTGATCTCAATTACAGGGGGAAACAAGAGCCTCATATGTTCCTGACAGGCTTCTGTAAACTTCTGAGGCTGCTTCTTTCTGCTATTCAGGACACTTAAGTATGTTATGCTAACACCCCCCACTCATAGTTTAAGCACCTTGATTGTTACATTCAAAGAACAGCTATAGAAAAATCAGTGAGTTTCATTGACCGGCCTCTGAAAAGAAGTTGCATCTTTTAATTAGTTTAGGAACAACAACACTAATATTGAGAGGCGCTAAGTGTCTGAAGAGTATTTAAAGGCAACAGCCAGGATATTCTCCCAGACTGATTTTACCATTCAGTATTAAACACTGGATGGGAACACATCACACCACATAGAATGGAGGAAACTGGGTGGGAGACAGAACTGCCCATGGAAGAAGAGTTGTGGGGTCCATCGAATAGCTGTCAGTACCAGCCTGTGCTGGACATCTGCAATCTGGATTTTGAGGTTTCTCCAGAATACTATTCCTCCTGGTCTTCTGCACATCAGTTTACACCAGACTCCCAGTTCCCCCTGACTGATGTTGATGCAAACGATATTTTCCAGGACCAAAGTTGCCTGGATCCTCAGGTAAAGGTTCACAGGCAAGCAGCCAACATTAGGGAGAGGAGGCGAATGCTCAGTATCAATTCTGCTTTTGAAGAGTTACGAGGTAGAGTCCCAACTTTCCCCTATGAGAAGAGATTATCTAAGATCGATACCTTGCGGCTGGCTATTGCCTACATAGCATTGTTGAGGGACATCCTGGCTTCTGGGACAGATCCTAAGTCCTATCTGGACGAGTTTATGAAAAGAGGCGGTCAAGGGTCAAATGGCAACATCTGGAACACAAGTGGTGAGTTTCCTCAGAATTTGTCCGTAAAGGGCATCTCTAAAACATTTAGCACATTGGGATTAAGGTGACAAATTGATTAAATGTTTTATTTGTTGCAGAGCTTAAACTGTACCCCATTGCTTGATTAACAAAATGCCCTTCATGGTGACTATGAATTATTACACCATCACAATAACAAGCTTCATCTAGCATCTTTACCCAAAGCCTCATGAAATACAATCCACGTAATACTTAATATTTAATAAGTAATATTAAATCTCGCACTCCTTAGCACCACTCGTCCTCATTTGTTTATCTGTATGCTTCTCGTTGATACAAACAATGTAACTCTTTCTCTGGGGATACTCACCAGCCCTATGTCATGTAATGCGTATTATACTGTTTTCTTTTGTTTTGTTTTTTACAAAACCTCAATAAAAAATATTGATAATAAAGTAATATTAAACGTTTGTGCCATTTCACACATTTACAGAAAATGTAACACAAGAGGTAGAAGTTATTTTAAAGTAATTTGTCATTTTGCATAATTTCATGTACAATGTGCAATTTACAGAAATAAGTATAACTGCCCAATAGACAACTCATTGAAATTTACAGCTATCACCAACTTATATAGCCTCTGCAATAATTCTCACATCCCCAGAACATTAATGCAGTAAATACCTATACTGTAACACCTCTAATGCACTCAAATAGCAAGTAACTTATGGTAACACAAATATCCACGGACATTATGGTTTTGTAAACTGAGCATAATCAAAAATAGCTTTCTATAATTCATAACCTTGACTAGAAGGCTTGCATACTGATTACAATTCATGAGCTTTCAGGATGTCTGAATATATGAAGATTTAGTCACACCTTGGTACTGTTAAACTGCATAAGTGATCTGCAGAAGTTGTGGCTGGATCATGATTGCAAGTAGCAAAGATTTATGTAAAAGCAGGGTAAAGGGATTACTAATCTGAAGGACTGGTGCGGTCATCAGGGACTTATGTTGTTTAATATTGTGCTATTTTATCCATAGCAATGTCTTCAAGATAGCTACCTTTTCTTTTAATTTATGTGCAAAATATCATAACCATGTCACCTTACAATTGTTTTGAGTGGTTAGTACTGTATTAGAACAGGCATAGGGTCAAACATGCAAAATAGTCAGTTTTTACAGATATACACCTCAGGGTATGATGAAAGTCTAGATGTTAACAGCAGGAAACCAAACAATAGTAAATTTTTACATTTATATGAACATTTATAGAACCACCAGTAGGCATGGGATTGTTGTACAATCTTCATGTCTGTGGCTACCTAGACTCTCACATGGGCGGCTACAGCTATACCAGTTGTTGAGATCTTTTTTAAAATGAGGCTCTTTATCCAGGTATGTTGTCTTTGCGTACTGAGCTCAAGTATTCAAATTCATAAAGTAAATTTAGGAACCAGGTTATTGAACACTGGCATAATAATAATATGAGAAAAGAATTTCTAAAGATTGTCAAACATTAAGAGGAAGCAAATGTACTTTATGATCAAGTAGACCAGCAAGGCTTTATCATAGTTCTAATCAATTTGCCAAGGTGGAAGGCAAACTGTGTTATGTAAGGTAAGGGCACATAAGAATAAAGGTCGTCAATCTTGGCGAGACATATGCCTATGGCCAACCCTTAAAGAGTCTGTACAAAAATGCTCACATGCATAAAAAAAACTGCAAAATGCAATAATCTGAAAGTTTCTGATTAATTAGGTTAACTTATGTGACCTAATTCAAATGTGATTGTTGCCATTAATTACTTTACAGAAAAAAGCTGGGATCAAAATGAAAAATAAATAGAAAAACTATATACACATATACATATACACACACATATACATATACACACACATATATATATCTCTCAGGCAGGGGTGTTTTTGTTTAGAATGCAATCCCCATCAACCTCATGCAAGTAGGTGCAAGAGCTTCTAATGGTTTTTCTTCACAGGACAATGAGTGATGAAAAGCTAAATGTTTTGCAAATTTCATTTATGCACTAGCTTTGGGAACAGCAGACTAATACTTCATCTACTCCTCTTTCAGATCTCACCGCCCGTCTGTCCTGGATTAAATGGGACTGAAGCAGCAGCATCAAAGTCCTCTCTGGCCAGGTGCTGAGTTCTCACCAGCAATAAGCTTGGGACTGGTGGCTTCTGAAATTCCCAGGGCCCAGGCCAGTATGGGAATGGCACAGTTAACTGATATGCAGCACAATGTCATGGAAACGCACCACGGACACTTGCAGAAAAATGTGTTAGTACTGTATTAATTCTACACCTGCGTGAACAGTACAAGGCTTAACTTTCTAAATTCTGGAATTGTTTGCTAGAAGAATAAATTATGCCATAACTTAAAACTGAGAAATACATCAGAGGCTTAATGCAAATCCACTTGGAAAAACGGAAAGATAAAACTTATTGTGTATAATTTTTTTAGGTCTACAAGTTTCTAAACTAATGTTATTATCTGTTATTTATCAAATTTATAAAATCGTTATTTTAAAAAATACACTATGATGACAGTGTTTCCAGAGCACTACGAGTTATCTAAAGGGACAGCACAGCTGGAGAGGCCTGCCTGGACACTCATTTCTCTCACTGAAATCTTGAACTGAGCCATTCAATCAGGGACAAGTTACTTGCTCCGATTCATTCAAGCTTGAGCTACAGAGCTATGTTAATAACAGATTTGTTTTCATCAAAAGGGATAACAGAGCCTATAAATATGTAAAGATTCACTAAATAAAACCAGTTAACAGCCTAGCTGTGTTCCTTCTATAGGGCAGCAGCAAATTACAAACTTGTACTTGTCACTCTCTTACACTGTGTGCTCATTCCTCCTTTTCATCCCATTCTTTGACAGCACAGAAGAAAAACAGGTAAAGCTACCACTGCATTATGGGAGCTGAGCTTCAAGTTTCCCCTGGCTTATACCTAGACTGCTGTGACATGCTAAGGAAAAGGAATAATGATTTAGGATGGCAATATTTGCATAGACGCATTCACTCCTGGGACATATCCAATAATACCAAGTCGGAAAGCAGATTACCTCTAGGGTGCCTTAAAGGTATAGATACAAAAGACCTAAAAACTGATACATCAGAGGCTTAATGCAGGACCTCCCCTAGGGGTATCAAATTATCATGGGAACCACACTTTTAGGGCCTGTTTAAACCATGTCTGGACCAGATCCGGACTAGAATGTTCCAGTCCAAAGAAAGGAATACCTTAAATAGCAGGTGTACTGGAAAGGTCTTTTCAGCTGTAGGAGTTCTTAAAGACCCAAGGCTACAGATAGCAGGCTATTACTTTCAAAGCAGGGTAGTTCACAATGCATCAATAAGGGCTAAATGGCCTCATGCAATTCTGAGGCTGTGGTGCCTCAAAAATGGCCCTACCAGAGATACTGTGTGGACTCTTGGTCTGGGTCAGAGATAGTCACCACAACTGGGGGCACAGTCTGATCTAATCAGAGACAGACTCTTCAGGGGAAGATGCGGCGCTGACTTAGAACTTCAGTGATCAGTATTGCACACCTGGGTAAATTAGTCAACACAGCCTTGTGTGACTGCAGGAGAAGCTCCTGATGACAGGGTAGGAGATTTGGTCTCACTCAACGAAGCTCAAGGAGTCTCTTGACGCAGACCCAATACCCGTAGGGCCACTAAGTACCAGATCACAAATATAAGTGCCCTCAGTGGGTACAGAGAAAACATCCTCAAAACATTGTGTTTGAGCTGGGGTCACCTGAAACAGCGGGAAAGTCACCTCTGTGTCTATATATAGACATATTATGACTGCAATGCAAAGATTAGAGTTCCCCATGGTGCTCTGGTAAAGCAGGACCAGCTGTGAGAGGGTGCTTCCTCTAAATCAAATGGTGTGAAAGAGTTCAGAGAGTGACTCAAGAAATTTAAAAAAAACATCCAGAAGTGCAAACAAGGCAGAGCTGAAGAAAAGATGTCCATCCTTCTAGGACTCTAGCAAAAAAACGGAGGCATGCTGGTTTACAGAAGGGGTTATCCTGTGCCGACCTACATATTTGTTGTTGCCAGTGTCCAAATCCTCCTGTAGGTGGTACCATAACCTGACTATCCAAATTCCTGTGCCCTTCAAATGGACAGGAAAGAAAATAGGATTTTTGACAAATTATTTTCTTGGAGTACATCACAGGATCAGTCCTAAGCTAGCCATACAATCAACTGTGTCAAATTTTCTTTAGATTGACCAAAACTGTGTAATACAAGGACAAGCCTAATGATCCATCCAATTTGTATCTAATCAGGCAGGCAGGCTTTTGCACTACATAGCCGATGGTAAATCTAATGGAGATCAATCAGATTGTATAGTGTTTTATCAGCCTTAAGCTGGCCATACACCTATAAATTATCTTTTCTATGGTCAGATGGAAAAAATGCAACAGATTCCTCCATCTACACTAAACTGTGTGGATGGAGGAATCTTCCACTGGGCCAAGCTGCAGTATCTTGCTAGTCTGACCCGCTGGCTCTCAAAATACCTGAACAATGGCTGCATCCAACTCCTCCCCCCCCCCTTTTTTTTAACGAGCAATAAGGAATAAATCATATGAACAGAGGGGTAGGACCTGTGTCCCATGATCTACTCCAAGAAAAGGATTTGACAGGTAATCAAAATTTTTACTTTCTTAATCGTATATCACAGGACATAGGATCAGTCAGACTACTTGGACGTGAAAAAGCAATCCAACTTAGGGGTGGAAAACACAGCAAACAGACCCACGAAACAATGGACAAAGAGAGGGTTCAAAACAGCTTTACGAACCTTACACCCCAAAACTGGCATCAGATGAGGCCTGAGCATCCATCTGGTAAAGCATAACTAAAAATAGAAGACCAAATGGCAGCCATGCAAATCCGAGAAACAGATGTCTAATGCTGAAAAGCCCAATAAGCCCTAACAGGTCTGGTAGAATGTGCATTAACAGGGATGGGTGTAACCTCATCCTTTAGACCCTTGATTCTCAACTGGTGGGTTGTGACCCAAAAGTGGGTCGCGACCCCTTGTACAGTGGGTCAACGCGTGCCTTCCACTTTTTTAGGCGAGAGGCTCCTCTGCCTCCCCCTAGCGCAGAACTGTCAGTTCTCGCGCCAAGCAGCAATTCAAAATATGCTGCCAAGAGCAGGGTCAGCTTAAGGAGGGATACAATGAGGCTATGGGCGCATACGTGCATTGCTTACAGCTTCCTCATGCGCCCTGTAGAGGTGCCTGGACCGGAGTTACATTACATTCTGGCTCTCGGCACCTTTACAGGGCACACAAGGGAGCTGTACAAGCAATGCACATATGAATGGAACTCCATCACAGCACAGCAGCCCACATTGGACCCCAGGCTGAGGATCAACTCCAGTTCTTGTAAGGTAGGGAGACTCACCTACCACCCACAGTTCGTAAGCTCGCACTGGAACGCGCAGTACACTAATGTCGTGCGTTCTATTGCAGTGCGATTTGGGTCGCGACTTATTGACCAAGAACAAATGTGGGTCCTGAGGTTACATAGGTTGAGAACCACTGCTTTAGACTACAGGCTTGAGTGATGACTTGTCCAAATCACCTGGAAACAGTGGAACGAGACACAGGATGTTCCTTACAGAGACCTTCAGGAATGATGGAGTAAATCTAATTGTCTAAAAGAAGCTGTAGCTAGGATTCATCCCATGGAGTATTTCCTTCCCTTGCAAAGTAGGCCTTTAGATGCAACGGTAGACTTTGTGAGAAGTCAACTTCCTAGCCTTTAAGAGCATAGGGGTAACTTAGTCAGGCCCCTGTCCCACAGTACTTGGGCTACAACATCTGTCATCAAATCCAGTAATCGAGCAGCAGGATGGCAAACTGGTCCCAAAGTACCATGTCCTCCTAAATGAGTTCAGTGCAAGAAGGATCACCTGAATTGCCTTACATCTCAATCTTGCAGAGCAGGCGAGGAATAAGCTTTAGGAGGTGGAAAGGCATAGAACAGGTTGAACTGATCCTTCAGAGACACCAGAGCATCCGCTCTAAAGGCCCAAGCATCCCTGGTCCTGGTGACAAACCTGTCCAGTTTTCTGTTGACTGTATTCTAGTTGGATGACCCCGTAGTTGAGAGGTCCAGGAAAAGACAGGACAAGACTAAGCTCCAGAATATTGATTGGAGGCTGGGCTTACTCTGACGACCAAGTCTCCTGTACCAAGAGGGTAACCAGGACTCTCCCTAGCAGGACAATGTGTCATCAATTGAGAGTACCAACGAGGTCATCCGAAGAAAGAATTTTCACGATTCAAGTGCTGGATCAGAGATCTACCATACAAGGGTGAACCTGGTTTTTCTGGATAGGCATATGGGCTGCCCCAGAGACTGAGTCTGCTCGTCCCACACTGCCAGAATGAGGAGTTGCAGTAGACTGGAATTAATTCTGCATATGGTGCAGTCTAAAAGGCCAGCAATAACCCCAAAACCTTAATTCAAAAGTGAATGATTGGGTGCCTACTGGACCTGGATAGAGTCAGGAGCTTCTCTGAAGGGAGGAATACCCTTGGATGGACATATCCATATCAGGCCCAGACACTCCAAGATGCGAGTCAGATGCAGCTCTGACTTCTGGAGCTTTAGGATCCAACAAAATCTTTTCAGGGTGCCGTAGACAGGCTGAAGGGAAGGACAACAAATTGATAATGTGCACCCACAGAAAAGTGCAGGTAGTGCTGATGTGGTGGCAATAATGGCTGTGCAAATAGGCATCCTTGATGTCCACTGAGGCCAGTAGATCCTGGGCCAGTCCCCCCCCCGCCCTTCGTTTACGCACATATAAACGTAAATACGCATCCGGTGCACCAGCACGAAAAAACGACAATTGCGCTACACGTTACATATCGCCGCGAACGTCAAAGTGAGAGCAATCATTTTAGGGCCATCAATCACTGATAACACTAAACTGATGAGCGGCAAAAGCTTTTAAAGCAATGCCTATGGCCAATTTTGGGTAATGTATTTTTTTAAGGTTTCGCGCACGTGCACAATTTTAAGGCTTGACATGTTTGGTGTCTTTTTACCCGACATGACCGCGTCTTATATTTTAACAAAAAATTGGGTAACAATAAATGTTTTAGAATTTATTAGGGGAAAGAGTTTTTTAAAAAAAATTCTCTGTAATTTTTCCTTAATATAGTAAAAAATTAAAAACCCCCAGTGGTGATTAAATACCACCAAAAGAAAGCTCTATCTGTCCCCAGAAAATGGTGTAAAATTCATTTCAGTACAGCGTTGCATGACGGAATAATTGTCAGTTAAAGCACCGCAGCGCTGAATACTGAAAAATGGCCTGGATGGGAAGGGGGTTTAACACTCCGGACTTCTAGTGGTTAAAGAAAATGGCCACCACAGGGATTGTCAACTTCTTTAGGAACTCTTTCTTAACAGGGTATTGCTTAGCAAACCTTTATGGGGGGGAGGAGGACAAAGATTGTTTTCACAGTGAGGACAATCACCACAACACAGGCTGAATAGAAATGGTATAATTTAGCATGTGAGAGATCTTTGCTGATTGAACCTCATCTGCGGTTTGTTGCCTCAAAAAAGGGCTGACAGCTTACCCGTGAAACCAGAAATTGGAGCTGAAAATTCCTCCCAGGCTAGGCAGAAGGGGGACTGACTGGGGATAGCAGTCAGGACTTTCATCAGTGGCACCCACTGACTAGGATAAAAGCATTTATCCTTTTTGACCCTTCCCCTGACCTAACCCAAACCACCCTCCCTGTCCAGAGATGCATGCTTACCTTGATATGACAACACTGGTTCTGCTGTTTGTTTACATCTAGCAGGGCAAGTCTTCACTGCCCTAACTGCTCCGGCACATTAACGTCCCATAGGGCTGTGTCCCAGGGCTGGGACAATCTGAGACAGTTAGGTCAGGACAACGATCAAGAAGGATTAATGTACCGTGTTTTAACCTGCACTTATCCAATAATGCTTTAAGAGTTCACAGGGATATAAATAATCATGTATACTTTAAAGAAATCTAAACCCAAGAACACAAATTGTATATGTTGCAGCTTACCTGCCCTTAGATATGATCACCTGTTCTTGCAAGGAATGCAGAGTGTTGACTTCCTGTGAGCTGAAAAAGCAAAACTATCTCATCTTGGTTCTGTATAGACATATTTAAAGTCCAGCCTGGGTGGTAACCATAGCTTTCTCTATAGCTAGAAGGACAGTAAGTGTGTTCATCACAGGATTACCAGGTGAAAATAAAGGGGGAAAAAAAAAAAAGACTACTAATGCAGCCACCACATCTAAGGAATGTTGAGCTACAAAACTGGACATTTTAGAAATATATGCACTGAAATTACACAGCACATTATTTTTTAAATAAAAAAACAAAATAACATGTTGGTGTGTTCTTACATTACTTTTTTGTTTAGCTTATCTGTCAGCTGAACTGGAAAAAGAACAAGGAAGATGATTATCCTATTGAAATCAATAATCATCATTTCAGAGAATGTCATCATCTGACAAAGCTAACCAGCTGTAATATTGTCCCGAGTGATCAGGCTACTTGGCAGTGTGGCAGATGGTTAAGGTCTCAATTCAATGCATAGATACACACAACCTGGATTGTAATCCTACTGCCTGGCACTCATACAAAGCAGCATTAACCAGAGAATTGAGCCAGCCATTGTGATTTCTATGTATGTGCTCGCCGAGAGCCCAATTTATAAGGTGTGTAAAACATGAAACAAAACAGCATCCAATCAGATGTAGTCCTGAAATGAGGAAAAAAAAAAACCTGGGCAATAAAACTCTGAATCTGGCTGGTAGTTGTGGAGCAATGTAGAAAACACATTTTACAATGTGATAAGGGTGTCTTCAAATTATTGTTGTTTTTCCATTTTTTTTATTTGTTGGGTTGGACCTTTTGTGCTCTCTGGATCTGTCCAATGAAGGATGGCATATATTTATATACACAACACATTGATGCAATCTCATTGTCATTAGAAATAACTTGCACTCATAGCAGAAAAACTGTAAAACAAACTATGCAAAATGTTTGCTTTTTAAAAAAAACAAACAAACATGGTTTACATTTGGTTTCATAAGTACACAAAAAAGCAGCAGGCCTTTATTAAATCTGAACTCCAAATTTACTTCGAGTTTTGCCGTTTTCAGAGATTTCTCCCCTGTACTGAAATTGCGTACTTTGATTTCAATGCACACTGTGAGCTTCTCACTGTTTGTATTAGTAGCTGCAGCACGTTGGATAAAGCCCACCTCATTTTGTGGCTTGAAGCAGAGACTCATCTCCCTCCCTTCAGAAGATAAGTAGGATGTTTCAGAGAGAGTCTCAGTGAGGAAACAGCTTCTGGTGGACTATTTCTTTAGAACAGTGATTCTCAACCGGTGGTTTGCAGCCTTCTTCGTGTCAAGCAAATGCATGACAGCTAATTCTGTCACAGTCTTTCAGTAGCCGTCCCTTACTGCTTGTTTGCCCGCGCTGTAGGTGTGTGTGTGGTGCCATGGCCTCACTCCTGTCAGATTACATCTTGAAAGTAAAGCGGTCACATTCATTAAAAAGCTGGGGATTACAGTGTACATGCCTGAAGGTGGGCAGGGCCTACCTCACAGTCTGCTACAGATCAGAACCTAGTGGCTTTTTAAATTAAACTTACTGGTTATATAGGCTGATACAAAATATGGGATTTTGTTACTCATGCTTACTGACACTAGTGCAAGAGAGGGGTTTTTTTTGTCAGTCACACTATGGGTAAAAAACACCCTCTATCATTGGTGTTCCTGGAATTGACACCAATTAAACAATTTTATTTTTTAATGTCATTGACATCAAATGAAACCAGGTATTTCTCAGTCAACTGATACCAATGCAGAAAGGGTTGCCAGTACAAAAGCAAACGCTCTTCCCTCAGACACCAATAGTGGGACTATGGAAGAAACATAAGAAAGCTCCTGTATTATATCAAAATATATTATATATATATA